TCCCAGTGTCCATCCCTTCATACTCTTCTGCACCCTGAGCTATCTCCCTGTGCATAAGCTAGGATGGTGTTTTAATGATAATTTTCTATTTCTTCATTCCTTTTACAAAAAATAATTACAACTCTTTTATAAAGAAGAGTTGCCCTGTCTATCCATCCATTTATTCATCCAGTCATTTATTACTAAAATTGCTAACCTGCACACTTGTAAGAAACAAATTTACTCATTACAGTATTTGTATACAGTTCTTTTTTTTCTTTAGCCTTATCATATCCAGTTAAATAATTTAACCAGCATAACTTAGCTTAGTTCTTTTCTTCTCTCACCTTTTAAAGAAATGTTAGCATACCATATACTTTGTTCTACACCTTGTTTTTTTTTTCCTAACATTGTCTTGGAGATAGTTCTGTATTTATATGTAGAGACCAGACTCATTCTTTTTAATATTGCATTTTGTGGATATTCCATAGTATATTTAACAAGCTTTATGTTAATGGACATTTAGAATATTTCCCATCACTTGTGATTACAGATAGTACTGCAGTAGATTTTTACGCACATATACTCATATGTCTGCCAGATGCCTTCCTCGAAGTAAATTGTTACTGTGGAGAATATATTTTCATTTTAAATGTTTTCCATTATTGCAAGCTTTCCCTCAAAGAGGCTGCACCAAAATTACTATTCTACTACAGAACTAATTCCAGCAATTACTATTGAAAAATAATGTGATTTTAAGAATTTGCCTTTAGAATTATATATTTGTTTGTTTATTTTTTGGTAGTAGTCTGTAACATACTAACTACCACCTTTAAATAGATTGTACCCATCTGTGGCCAGGAAATGATCCGTAGAGTCAGGAAATAATACAAATACTTCGTTTTTCTAGATTTTTAACCTATGCTTTTTTTTTTAGGTCCTAGCCATAAATATCCTGGGTCGTTTCTTATTGAACAATGACAAGAATATTAGGTAAGTCAACTAAACAATATCTTGGGTATTAGAAACTCAGTGATTTCAAGAAGTGACTTTACTCAATATCATACACATATATTGATTGATAAATCTAGAACTTCAACCCACAATTTCTCTTTCACGTTTAATCTTAAAACTACTGTTTTGTAAAGAATTTGAGGGGTTTCCTCATGGTTTTTTACTATTATTTATACTGTAAATCGTGCCTCAGCAAACTTGTTCTGTAGAGGCCCAGATGGTAAAGATTTCAGGCCATGGGGTCTCTGTGGTTTCTCCTCTGCCTTGCCCCTGTAGCAGAAAAGCAGTCATAGATGATGTGGCTGTGACCCAGTAAACTTGATTCATAAGAGCAGATGGCAGTTGGCTGCAGTTTGAGCCCTGTTCAAAATGAAGAAGGAAAAAAATAGAACATTTTAGCAAGCAAATCTGGAAACTCTTTTTGAACTCTAGCTAGCTTTTTAAGTAAATGATTTGATTAGTACTACCTTTTCTTTGTTGTTTTCCTATATGTAATATGTCCTGCTTGCCTTTTTTTGTCACCTTTCACCAGGGAAAAAATTTTCCTTCTTACCGTATTAAGCATGGAAAAATGTGGAAGTAATCATTGTGTGTGTGTGTGTGTGTGTGTGTGTGATGTGCCGTCGAGTCGGCCCCGACAATCATTGTGGTAATTTGAATTATCCTCTTCAAAAAGAATTTTTAAATACTTGTATCTTAAATTCGTATTTTTATAAAAACAATTATTTTGGTACTAATATCAAATAAAAGCAATAAAAATAAAGTGGTGAGATTGGAATAATTTTCCTCTTGCATTTTGATGTTAAAGCAGCCTGAAAAGGCCTGTTATACTATATGATTATTATGCTTTACTATTTTAAAAACCATTTTTAAAATGGTTGCAGCAGGGTATAGGCAGGGAGCCATCAGAAATTCTAGCCAGATTCAGAAGAGGACGTGGAACGAGAGAGAGATTGTTGCTGATGTCAGATGGATCTTGGCTGAAAGCAGAGAATATTAGAAAGATGTTTACCTGTGTTTCATCCACTGTGCAAAGGCAGTCCACTGTGTGGATCATAACAAATTATGGACAACATTGCAAAGAGTGGGGATCTGTCCATAGATCAACAGGCAGTCCTGCAAACAAAATAAGGGGATACTTCATTGTTTAAAGTCAGGAAAAGTGTGTGTTAGGGTTGTATCCCTTCACCATACTTACTCAGTCTGTGTGCTAAGCAAATAATCTGAGAAGCTAGATCATATGAAGAAGAACATGGCATTAGGACCAGACGAAGACTCATTAACAACCTGTGATAAGCAGATGACACAGCCTTGCCTGCTGAAAGTAAAGAGGACTTGAGGCATTTACTGATGAAGATCAAAGATTACAGTCTTTAATATGGATTATACCTCAGCATAAAGAAAACACAAATCCTCCTAAGAGGACCATTCAGCAACTTCATGATAATGGAGAAAAGATTGAAGTTGTCAGGAGTTTCATTTCAGTTGGATCCACAATCAATGTCCCTGGAAGCAGCAGTCAGGAAATCAAACGATGTATTGCCTTGGGCAAATCTGCTGCAAAAGACTCCTTGAAAGTGTTTAAGAGCAAAGATGTCACTTTGAAGACTAAGGTGGGCCTGACCCAAGCCATGGTATTTTCAGTAGCCTCATATACATGTGAAAGCTTGACAGTGAATAAGAAAGATCACAGAAGAATTGATGCATTTGAATTAATGATGTTGATGAAGAATATTGAATATACCATAGACTGCTAGAGGAACAAACAAATCTGCCTTGGAAGAAGTACAGCCAGGATGCTCCTTAGAACTGAGAATGGCCAGTCTCTGTCTCTTATACTTTGGTCATGTTGTCAGAAGGATAGCACTTTCAAAAGTTCCTGGAGAAGGATACCATGCATGGTAATGTAGAAGGGGGAAGACCCACCCACAACGAGATGAATTGACACAGTGCCTAAAATGACTGTGAAGATGGCATAGGACAGGCCATTGCTTTCATTGTGTTGGAAATAGGGTCTCTGTGAGTTGAAACCTGTTTGTTGGCACCTAACAACATTTGGAAGAATTTGAAATAAGCGAGTCCTCACTTTTTAAATGAACTTGATTATGAATGCAAATCTGAGCCCAAGGCTTCTCTTGGTTTAGATTATGCTTTTAAGATGTTACCTTTGTATTCACCAACTTTCTCTATTAAATATTTAATAACATATGCTTTATCCTAGTCATTAGGCATCTTCTTTGTCATTATGTAGTCAGACGAAATTTACCTTAAATTTTGCATTTACATTCTGTTACTCTGCAACTTTCTTTCATGTAGGTATGTAGCTCTCACATCTTTATTGAAAACTGTGCAGACAGATCATAATGCAGTACAGAGGCACCGAAGCACGATCGTGGACTGTCTAAAAGATTTGGATGTCTCAATAAAACGGTAACAAACTTTGTATTTTTATCAGTTTTTGTTATTAAGTGAGGGAAACATTGTTGATAGTTGTATGCTTCTCTCATCTGATACTTTGGTATAGTTCTGAGAGCCAGAATAACATTTGTGCCATTGGTCAGTTATGTTCACAGATGAACTGTCTCTGCAGAGTGAATCCATTTTTAAAAAGAAGAATCCTTTTTTTAAAAGTTTGGGTCAATTAAGGATGTCAGTAAGAAATAATGAAGTTAATATTGAAAGTGTCCTTGGTTTATTGATAAATAGAACACATACAGATGAACTGGGTAGATGTTTATTTAACAGAGGTACTGCTTTGTGTGCTGGAGGATGAATACGAGGAGTGATCCATCGGCGTAGTGTCTTATCACGATGCTGAAACTCAAATTGCTGACAGCACACGTGTCTCACAGTACTTGTGTCCTAGATACTGGAGTCAGCCATGTTTCTTAGAACAGGCTGACTTTAGGAAGTATGGTTAGACAGCAGATAGCACTTTCAAAAAGCATACATTTCTTTTCTCTATGGAGTAGCAGTACTGGTTCTCTTCTTGGAAGAACTCCAAATGTTTGTAAAACCTTGCTATACTTGGCCTCAGTGAATTTTTAGGTTTTAAAATGTGGATATTCAAATCCAGAACAAATTTAATTTTAATGATCTCTGAAACCATTTATGTAAACATTTATTGAGTTCCTTTCATTTGCAAGAACAGGTGCTGATCACGTGGACAATATAAAGATAAAAAGATACAAACTCAGTGACACCAACTTTTTTATATAGTGCTTTGTGAAGGATTATATAAGCACCTCTCAGTTAGTTCTCAGAGGAAGCCTGTGAGAGAGACTAAGCAGTTAACTCTGTCTTTAATTAACACATTAGTTAAAGTCCCATAGGGATCAAATGACTTACCCTTTGTCATTTACCATTTGTAAGGGGCAGACCTAGGAATAGAAGTCAAACCTTTGACTCATGTTCTTTCTTGATAGCTCATTACTGGACTTTGAATTGAAAAGGTAATACCTGTGTCTCTCTGACAGGCTATATAAAGCAAAGTAAGAGCTCAGACTCAGGAGCCAGACTGCCTCATTTCAAATCCTGGGTCTCTCTTCATAGATGCATGACTTGATCAAGTTATTTACCAGTGTAGTGCCTTAGTTTCCTGTGTAAAATTTGTATGGAAAGTACTCACTTAATAGGGTCATGTGCGATTAACTGAATAAATATGTGTAAAGTAGTTAAATATACTATATGTGTTAGCTATAATTCTGGAAGAATTGAATTTTCATTGCTTGTGTGTTAGCTAAGATGAAGGTATTTTGTATTTACTAAGTTGATTTTCTTGTATATAGCATGCCTGAAATAATTGAGCCAAATACAAAGATACATAAAGTAACCTCATAACTTTTATATGTTAACTATTTCTATTTTCGCTTTGGTTGCCAAATTTGATAGGCAGTTATAAAAACTGTATTTTAGCATATAATAGTATATTTATATTAAATATAAAAATGAAAAAAAAAAACCAAACTCACTTCCGTCAAGTCATTTCTGACTCCCAGTCCCCTTCTTGGGTTTCCAAGGTGGTATCACTAAGGAAGTAGATCGCCCAATCTTCCTTCTGAGGAGTGGCTGATGGGTTTGAACCACCAGCCTTCTGGTTAGCAGTCAGATGCCTTAGGTACTACGCCACCAGAGCATAGTTATTAAAATTTTATTTTCCCTTTTCCTGGCCCTCATTGTCTCTTTCAATTTTTTAAAATTCTAATTTCCTACATACTTTTTGATACAAAGTAGCTTACGTCATCTTTGGACAGAAGTGGGGTATAAAAGTCGAGTGTGGTAACTTAATAGATCACATTTTGGAAGACTGATACAGAGTGGAGTTAACATTGGGTAATAATTTTGTTGCCTGTCATTTTGAGCCTTCTCAGTCTCTAGAATTTCAGCTTCATAGAATGGACTGTTGAACCCAAACTGCAGTTTTGGTCTTTAATAATATATCTCTTAGGGACTTTTTTTTTTTTTTTTAGGGAAAAAAAAAGTTGAATTAAGATTCAAAATATTAAAGCTAACTTTGATTGCATAAAAATAAATCTACTTGGTTATCTGTTTCAGAGGTAGGGAGGCCACAATTGTGCAAGGACATGAGCACATCGCCGGAGCTGCTTGTTAACAGTGATAGCATACCTGGTGCTTTGTTTCATTCCCACTGTAAATATCACCACTGTTTCTCTTCCCCTGCAAGGCGTGCAATGGAATTAAGTTTTGCCCTGGTGAATGGGAATAATATCCGAGGCATGATGAAGGAATTACTTTATTTTCTGGATTCATGTGAGCCAGAATTTAAAGCAGACTGTGCATCTGGAATTTTTCTTGCTGCAGAAAAGTAAGATTTTAAGTTTTCCCTTTACTGGTCAAAGATGCTTGGGACTTACTGAAAACATGATGTAAAACGTGGGGGAAATGCTGTAAACATGTTCAAAGCACATTAATATTTATTTCTAACTCCCAATTATAAGTTAGCTTTGAGATAGACCGTTGTGGCTAGCATATTTAAAGTATGCTAACTCACACCTCCTAAAAAAAAAAAAAAGTCTCACTTTTATAAAGTCTTCTGCTTTATCTGTTATTTAACCTCTCATCCATTCTATCTGTTCTGTGAAAAGAATAGGAAGATTATGTTGTTGTTATGTGCCGTCTAAGTCGGACCCAACTCATAACGACCCCTCCTTGGGTTTCCAAGGCAGTGTTGCTGTGGAAGTAGATTGCTATAGCATCTGAATTTTAGTGAAACTTTTAAGGGAGAAGTATTTCAAGATTTTAGTAATTGAGTTACTGTTTCTCCTCTTTGCACCCTGAATTTAAGGGAATGAGTTCCTAGTCCTAATGTCTAGATGTGGGAACAGTCCCCTTTCTTTACTCTCCTTCTCTGCCTTTTCTTGCAGAAGGTAGAATGTATGTTTTATTGTCTGAGAAACTGGAGACAGAGTCCCATTTCTCAGCTCACTAACTCTTACTGCAGTATTATGTGAAGCATCTGAGTTTGACTGTATACTACTTCATCACCTTTGAAATGGGCTAATGGTTTAGCTAGAATTGAAAGTGAAATGCTTCTAAATGTAATCACTTAAACAAAGAACCTAAAAAAAGACTAGGGTGGGGTTTTCAAATGTAATGGAACACAGTATAGTTTACAGGTTCCAATTTTTCACCTGTGCATTGTTTTCTTAGGTATGCACCTTCAAAACGGTGGCATATAGACACAATTATGCGTGTTTTAACAACGGTAAGTAGCATTTTTAGTCAACAATTACGTAAGTAGTGGGGATGTACTGATAAATAAAGCAGATAAAGCCCTTGTTGTCATTTCCATTCCAGTGGGAGACAGGGAATTCATAAGTGATATGTAATATCAGGTTGGGATAAGTGCAAATAAGAAAATTAAAGTGGCATAAGGGAATATAATTATGGCAGGGTAGGGTTGACTCTGGGGCAACTTGCCAAATATTTTAGATAACATAGTTGGGGCAGGTCTCTCAGAGGAGGAAACATTTGACTTCAACAAAGTCAGGAGCAAGCCGTGCAGAAATCTGGCAGAAGAGTGCACTGATTAGAGGGAACAGCAAGTGGAAAGACCCTGAAGTGGCAATAAGCTTGGCCTGCTTGGAGAGCAACAAGAAAGCAGGTGAAGAAGCTAGTAGAGTGAGAGGGGAGAGGAGGGAGCAGTGAGGTGAGAGAGCAGCAGGGCACAGTAGGGAGGGCCTCATGAGCACTCAGGTTGTCTTCTGAATGTGATAGGAAGCAACTGTGGAAGGTTTTAAATGACTAAGATTTTTCTGGATTTAGAATTACTCTGTTTTTGAAAATATCCTTTCTTGCATAACTTACAGAATTTTGTGGCTTCTCTGTCATTAAATTAATAGATAGGAATTAGAGATTTAAGAATAAAGATGTAGAGGCCTAAAAATAAAGCATAACAATTTATATCTAATCATGTCATCAGAAATAGGTATTTTAAAGGGAAATATTCACAGATTTGACTACTTAAAAGTAAATTTGTGTAGCAGAAGAAAGAAAAAAATCTACAAAGGCAAATAAATGATAAGTAGGTGGAAAACATTGTTACATATGACAGTGTTATTAATATTTTTAATCTAAAAACCTTAGAAGTAATAAGAAAAACCAAGCACTCCAGGATTTGATGGAAAATATGCCAGAGGCATTCGAATAGGCAATTTACAAAAGTAGAAAGAAATGGCTAATCAACATTTGAAAAAACATCCTCACTAGTAAAGAACTTCTAAATAAAATAAAAATAAGGTATCATTTTTTACTCATCTTACTTTTTAATTTAATTGCTGATGTTGGTTAGGAAATACAGAAACATGTAGTACTTTTCACTTTATGGAATACAGTGTGGTAGCATGTAGCAGAGCTCTAAGTTTATACCTTTTATATCATTTATTCAGATTTTAGGACTTTATCTTAAAAAAAAAATAAAGGTTAAGTACACTGAGATAGATATACGAAGGTATTCATCCTAGTCTTAGTTTTAATAGGGGAAAACTGGAAACATCCAGAAGTCCTCAAAAGGGGATTAATTAAATAAATTAAGAAACATCTATAGGTGGGAGCGATACCATTAAAATTATGATGTATGTATATCTGTTGCTGTGTTACTGATTTCTGTTTTATTATAATTTGAGAACATAATTTCTATGACTTTTGTTCTTTGTAATTTGTTTAAATATATTTTGTGGCTCAGATTGTGATTACTGGTGAAAGATTCCAGGAGAACTTGAGAAAATTTTGTATTCTGCTATTACTGGATGAAGTATTCTTATTTCAAATTCAGTTAGATCGTGTTGATGCTTTCTCTTACTTAAAGCACTCTGCTTGCTCTGATTAGAGGTGAATGGAAATAGCTTAAGTCAGGAACAAATTACCTATTTTTGAGTTTCTCACCTTTCTTTTTTTTCCCCCAAACTTCTCCCTCTGTTCTTGTGTTGCTTAAAATTGGCATCTCAGTCACTTTTTTTTTTTTTCAAATTTTTTCTCCTTTTCAAAGTATACATGGTTATACTTGGTCTCTATCTTAGAAATCAGACCCATTGGTCTGTCGAGTAATATGGGAGACTGACCAAGTTGACTAATATTGGCCATGGATTCTGCCTCTGCCCAGTCTAGCTTAGTTATTCTTCATACGGTCTAACAAGGCCAAGATTTTGTTTCCCCGTAGGTGTAGCTTTACTTTATTCTGTGGTTACAGATAGTAGCTCAGATTCCATACGCAATGAAGGAAGGCATTAAATGAGTTTTTTTTTTTTTTTTTTTTTTAGGATTTGGGTGAAGATTTACAGAGTAAATTCACTTTTCATACAGCAGTTCACATATACTTTGTCTCATGTCATTGACCAA